CACTTGAATACGTTATCTGGTAGCTACATTCAAAATTAGAGTAGATAGGTCGAATTTTGCTGCGCCATGCCCCTGCCAGAGATCCCAATATTTTTATTTATACAAAATTTAAAATTATGTTATTAGGAGCTGGGACGGGGAAAAGGGGAGGGGTGAGAGCAGTTTCTTTTTTTATAAAGCGAAAGCTTTTCTTAGAAAGGAAAAGCTCTTTACACACAACTATATTATGTTTTTTACTTTAAATGAAAGATGTATTAAAAATGAAATAATAAATGGATAATATACTGATATTCAAAATATATTTATCTTATTGTTAATCCTAACGTTTATTTATTTCTAATTTAAAATCTAATTAAAGTTAGTTAAAAAGTTTCGATACTCTGAAATAGAAGGTTAATAATAATAATTGTTATTATAGTAATGAAATTTTGTTCGTGTTTAAAAAATTCATGATGTTTTGTAAAATTTATTATAGTATAATTTTATATATTCATAAAAATCTATTAGTTTTCAAAAATTTTCAGAATTCAATTTTATAATTAATAAAGATACTTGGAAAGGAAATGAAAAAATTACAGATATGTATATAGGAGTTTGATATAATTTATATTCAGAAAAATATGATGTTTCAGAAATTTGATGATAAATGTTATAATTAAAAAAAAAAAAAGATATACATGGAAAGGAAATATAAAAATAAATACAGATATATGAGTATGATGTAATTTATATTAAGAAAAATATTGTGTTCCAGAAATTCGATGATAAATTTTATAATTAAAAAAAAAAAAAAAACAAAAATCGAGATACACACATGGAAAGGAAATCTAAAAATAAATACAGATATAGGAGTATGATATTTTAAAAAGCTACATAAAAAAAAAAAAGTCCATTGTGTTTAAGCACTCCTGGGTTGTGGTAAACCGTAAGTGGTCAATTCAAATCTAATCAACGGAAACTAAAAAAAAAAAAAATTATTTCAAACGTAAAAGAAGAGAAGTTAATCGTTCTTTCTTGGCACTTTCAGATATGAAAGGAATACGTCATCTATTAGCTTGGAAATTCTTAATCGGATATTTGCAATGACCTGTACCATTTAAAAGGTTAACTTTTACAATACAACTCTCATGAAGCCAATACCGTATCGTCTACAATAACGAAACACGCAATTTGTATATAGATAGATCAGTTACATGAACACAATTACAAATATTTGTGTGCACGTGTATATGTTCCAATAGTTTTTCTTCGAACGTGTACAAATCGCAGGATATCTCGATATATCATTCCATTAAAAAAAATATTACAGTTGATTAATAGATATCAATATAATATATGTGACTAATTTCTTAATAAATTGACATATTTAATTAAAGTTATTGTATAATCAAAATTATACAAGAATTTTTGTTTTTTACAGTGAAGTAATGTTTTCAAACATTTCATCAAAATTATTAACTTAACTTATTAATAAATTTGAAAATGTAAATCAAATAAGAATAATATTGCAATAAATTATAATTATATATTTATTGAATTTTAAAATAGATAATAGAAAATAATTCCAAATTTATTTGTATTTGATTGATTTTAGATTTGGATAAAAATGAATAAAATTAAATTTAACGAGCAAATAGAAATGTATTTATGGAAACCAGTTAGAAAATATACAGTTTAGGATGAGATTTGGTATATCTGTAGTATACTTTAAGGGGTGTTACCTTACTATAAAGAAATAAGCTGCATTGCTAACTAATTTTGTAAAAAAAAAAATCCTGTAAAGTTATGATCTGTTCATCAAATGTTTGTAAATTCGGTTGATATTCGATTATTTTTATCGCGAATCAATCTGTATAATGCAATTTAATAATTCGATTTACTTTTCATTTTTTTATTTTTTTTTATTATAATTTCATTTAATAAAATAAATTAATAAAAAGAAAAAAAAAAGAAAAAATTCTATTCCTGTAAACAGACACGAAATGTTGTTTGTTTGACAATTCAATTGTAATTTTGTTATTTTAAATTAAAATTTATATTTGAAGAAAAAATAATAACAATTGTTATATACATATTAAATAATATCAAAAAAAAAAAAATATTTAAAAAATTATGAATAAACAAAAGTACCTAACAATAGACGAGTAACAAAAAACGAGGAAACGAAAAACTATGAGATAAATATACGGAATTACATATGATGTCACATCGGACGATAATAAGTCACTCTAATGACTATAGATAATACATACAGGGTGATACATTCGAAATAGTGTACTCAAATAACTCTATTCTCTTTCGATTGTATGAAAAAAAATTGTTTGTAACAAAGTTAAATTATATTTTTAAGTGCAAATGTAATTAGAGTGCATATTAATTAAAATATAATTACGAATATTCAAATATTATTGTAAAAATGATGATAATTTTTGCTTCGTGGTTAAATCTAAACCTTTCAAGTAGTCATAAATAGTTGAATTTGATAAATTTAATCTCTCGATCGATCTCATGTGTTACTATTTGTCAATTTGCATCAACTAATGCAACCATTATTGCGTTAGCAAAAAACGAAACGACTTTACGAATCACATAATATTTCTTTCACATTTTCGTAAAGAAAAATGGATGGCGTTCCGTATGGATCAATTTATTTTTCTCAATTATGACTCTTATTTCATAAATTTATTGAAAATTGATATTGTCAATGCAAAATTTTGTCATCGTAGTACGTGCATTTTGATGATATCCTTTTTTATTTTCCTAGAAATCTTTGAAAATATTTTCATACATAAACTTATATAATATTTCTTGACCTACAAAACCTCATTAACATATGGTATAAGTTTGATATAAACCTTTTGAGACACTCTATATATATTATACATAATTATGTGTGCGTCGGCGTGCACGTGTGTGCAAGCTATAAATTATGTAACGTTGGATAATAATCTATGATATATACCTAACCATATTTATTTACTTGACATAATCACTTTTAATCTTTGACTACTTTTCTACGAAAGCCATAGTTCAATTTTTTTCTTTTTTTTTTGCAAAATAACGTAATGAATAAAAATTATTATACACAGATAGAAAATTGCATTTGTCTCGAAGTGACACAGCGTAACAATAAAATGACAGTATAATTATACGATAAATTCTAAAAATCTAAATGTAAAAAAATGGTGTCTTATGTTTTGGCGATTAAATTAAGCGTTCAAAAGATATTCATCATTAAACTTTCATGTGTACTGATTTCTGTCTCTGATTTATACCGGTATTTATTGTATGAATTTATCTGTAAATAATTAATATTAGAATTTTATGATTTATCTAAAAACGGACGGAAAACCGTGATCCTTTTGTTAAAGGGTTCACGGTTTTCCGTCCAAGATTTCAAAATAGCTTCTTTCGCATGATTCCTATCTATACTATCATATCTTCTTTCACTCCATGAGTCAAGATTGTTTCTAGTTGTTATATTGCGGTTGGTATTAAACGATCTTTCTAAGCTTTTCATTTCTACTTCTAAAATTCTTTGTTTTCGTTGATCAATTTTTCAAGTTCAATCGCTTTTGCTAACAAATCTTTTAATGGCATTTTATTATAATGTTCATTTAAAATGGCTCTTATTTTATAGTTGCGAATTCCTTTCAAAAATTCACGACGAAATGCTCGCTCGCTTTTAAGCAAGGTTTTTTTAAATATTTTTCGTAAGTTATTAAAATAATTTTCTATCGTTTCTTCTTCATATTGATATCGCTGATAAAAACGATACGTATGAAAATGAGTTTGATTACATTTTTTAATAAAAACAATGTATAAGTTTATTATCTCCTTGTATGAAAGATTAGAGAAGTTTACAGAAATATTGTTGTTTCTAACCTGCTTATGAAGATCATTATCCACCATTTCATTAAAGAATGCAATCATTTTATCTTTTGGTACCTTGATCATATCTGCTACATACTCAAAATTATTAAACCACTCACAAAATGTACGGTAATTCTCAGAATGGAATCTGTCAATCCATAAAAGAGCTTGGTTTACATATTTTTTTATTTCATTAGCTTTTACAAATTCGATGGCTTTTGCTACCGTTTCATGGAAAGATAAGTAAGGAATTATTTCTAAATATTTTTTTATATCACTACCGCGAATTCCACTAACAAATTGGTCGGATAATCTTTCATCTGCGTAACATGTATAATTACAATTACTATGTATTTTCTGTAAAGAACAAGCATAATTCTTTAACGTTTCTTCTTCATATTGCTCTCGACAAAATAAACGTCTTCTGTGTAAAAACATTTCATCTGTAGGAGAAAAGTAACGAAGGTAATGGTCTATTATTTTTACGTAAGAAAGTTCAGAGAAGTTGACAGAAGAGTATTTCTCTTTGACTCGATTATGAACATTATTATCCACTGATTCATTGAAGAATTTAATCATTTCGTCTTTACATACGAAATTAAAGGTTTTGTATTCGAATTTATTTAACCAATCACAAATATCCAATTCTTTCTCTGATTTGAACATTTTAATTAATGCAAAAGTACAATGAGTATTATAATTGCTTTCATTAACTTCTTGAAATGTAACGGCCTTTGATACCGTCTCATAGAATGATAATGTAGGATATTTACTTAAAAATTGTTTTATTTTATTATTGTGGATTCCTTTACGAAATTGTCTGCATAAACTGTCTATTAATTGTTCTTTATTATAGCATTCATTATATATTTTTTCTAATTTATCGGCATATTTTTCTATTGTTTCTTCTTCATATTGATTTCGGCATTGTAAACGTTTTTTATACGAATCAGTTTCATCAGATTCAAAAAGAACAAAGAGGTAAAAGCTTGTTATATCTTTGTAGGATAGATCTAAGGAATCTATATCAGGGGCAATCTTCTTGACATTCGTATGGGTATCATCATCTATCATATTCTTGAACAATTCAATCATCATTTTATCTGGTACCCTAATAGAATCTGCTACATATTCAAATTTATTTAACCAATCACAAAAATCATCTTTCATTCCTAGATTGTAAGAATGAATCCTTAAAAGAGCTAGGTCTTTGTAATAGGTTAGAAAAGTATTGTTACAAAATTCAATTGCCTGTGCTAGCGTTTCATCGAATGATAAACAAGGTTTTTGTCTTAAATGATTTCTTATATTATCGTCTTGGAGTCCATAATTGAATTGTTCGCATAAACATTCTTCGAAATCACTTGGATAATAGCATTCATTAAATATTTTTAGTAGATTATAAGAATATTCTAGTAGTGTCTCATTTTCATATTGTATCCGAGAAATAAAACGTCTTCTATATAACTCAATAGAGTAATGTTTTACTGTATCTTCGTACGAAAATATACAGAACTCATGAATAGGATAAATCTTCTTGACGTATGTGTGGACATCAGTATCCACCATGCAGTTAAAAAATTCAACCATTTTATCTGGTGGTATACTGATAATATCTGCTACATATTCAAACCAATGCAACCATTCCAAAAATTCTTCCTTGTCTTCTAATTTATAAACTTGCATCAATGTAAGAGCTTGATTTTGATAACTACATATTTGATCATCTTCTTGTAATAAATCCTCATT